GATTCATTTAACAACCTTATTACTGACTTAACAACCACAGTGATTCACTTAGCAACTGTGGCAACAAAGGTCATAAAGTGGAACAAAACTAATTTAGCAAATGTCTCACTTAGCAACAGAACTTCTGGGCTTAATTGTGGTCATACATCAAGAGCTACCTGTAGAACTCTCATTTTGGATTATCCCACATAATTTTTCATATGCTTTTGGGAAAATTACTGAAAGTTAATTTCCAGTTTATAATTTTTCTTAAAATTATTCTTATTCTATGAATGGCAGTGACTAGAGTATTGTTTATTCCAAAAAGATTATAGGTCTAAATAATATGCTGAGCAAAGTGCTCATCTAAATAACTGTAATACTCCTTTCTCTTTCTATTCAAAACTAAGTTTCATTGGATTTAAATACTTTTTAAATTCTTCATCAAGTTGATCTTGATTCTTGATAACTTCATGGATATAGTTGAGTAATTTTCTTAACAGCAATAGGAAGATATTTTGCCATAACTTTCCTCTACTATGCTTTTCTTTTTAAAAAAGAAAACCTTTTGCAGTCTAGTTCTTACAGGATTGATGCAGCTTATTTGCTTTTTATTTCAAACGCTATGCTTCTGCAATAAAGGCATGAACCTGTTTTCCCTTTTCCTTAACTTTTTAAACAAACAGCATTATGTTTATATTAATCTGTCCTCCAGTTAAAACAAATGTGTGTGGTTTCTTCTGTTCTGTGTAAAGTTTGGATAGCAGCTGGGCTTACATGGAAATGATGCAAGTTTGATTATTAGATTAAAATGCAGGATTTTTTTGAATTGTAGTTTATATTATGTTCCCAAGAGTGTTAGTTCTTGTTCAGAGTTCAGATATCTGTTGGTATTAATTGTTATAATGTTATTTGTCACATTTTTCTGTTCACCTCTGGAATTCTATGCTATTTTAAAGTGATATATAGTAACAGAACAGAAGTGCAAAGTAACTTGACATTTTTTTATCCATTGCAAACTAATAAACAAAGTGGCACATAACACATGCAAACTTAATTTAGTAAATTTTAAAAGGATACATTTACAATATATCAGATGGAATTTATAATTCTTTACAAATTTTACACAAGCCAAAAAAAATAGTTATGACACTGTAATTATTCTCTAGATAAATAGATGATAGATAGATAGATAGATAGATAGATAGATAGATAGATAGATAACATATATTCAGAAATTGCCAACTATTTAGGATGAAGAATAGTTGTCTACAACTTTCTTGGTACAACAGATGTAATTAGGACTGGGGTCTTTAATAAAAATGCTATGATGTATAGCTCTTTTTATAGTATATACTCACTTTGAAAACAGAATCAAACCTAGTTAGAAAGCCAATGGGAGATAGTCATACTAGGAACAGCGTTAAATACAATTGTTCTATATTGTCCCTGGAGGAAGTACACTGTATAACACAACAGTGGTTGTGATCTAGGGGAAGATTGACAGCTTTGTGCATTGATGCTGGGGAGGTGGTAATGCAGAATACCTAACATGAAATGCAACATATAAGAAAATCTTCTGGGAGTATTGAATGGATATTCCTAGCAGATTCCTGAGGTCTGTGGACGTTGAAAGTGTACAAATGTCTTTCTAGGAATGAAACTTCATTCTCTCATACAGTGTGATATATGCACATACATGTGTGCACACATGCACATATAAACTTATAAACCTTTTGGGGAATGGTTTTTTTAATTACTGCCTTTGGAAATTCATGTTCTGTGTGTTCCATTTTTTTTTTTTTACAGTGGCTTAAAAAAGAGTAGGAAGTGTATAATGTACAGAACTAACCTGTTTTACAACATCAAGTAAAAATGTTCATAATCTTTTCAAGTTTAGAACTTGTAAATGCAGAAATAATATTTAGCAACTCAGAGAGACATATAGTAGACTTAAATGTAAGTTTAAAAGGTATTGCGTGTCAAGAATAACCTTCCTGTTAAATAGACATTCTGTTTGTAATTATGGTTCTGTATCAAATACTGAGTACCTCAGCTTTTTGTTTTGTTGCTTGGATTTTTTTTTTGCTTTGTTTTTGGTTAATAAGTAAAGTTTGCTAAGGGATAATAGGATTTATTGAAAGAGGTATATGCCTTTTTTCATAATAATTTAGAGTTCACCAACTTTGGTCTCGATTCAGACTAATTCCACTTTTGAACTTGTTATAAGGTGTAGCTCCAGTGAATAATTTTAATTTTAATAGAATCTAAAAATGTTCTGCTAAACATTTTCTTCATTTATAATGCAACTACCAGATTTACATTTTACCATTGCAGTGTGACTAACCCTATTAAAAATCAGTTATTATTGCTTGTAGAATTTTTATTGTCATTTTGTTTCCAATATCTACTTTTCTTGTGTAAATAGTTTTATGTATGTTGAGTTAAAGTCATTACTGGCAATTGATTTATAATAGTTTACAGTGTAGAAAACTAAATGTTAGGCAAGTTTAACTAGAGGAATCTGAATCAGGATGTGTAATAACCTCTTAATATCAATTTTAAAACTAAAGTGCTATCCTGATAATTTTGAACTTCCAAATTATGCCGTACATAACATCACCAAAATCTCCCTGAATGCACACACACATAATAATTGACCTAGAGAGAAATAGTTCAGGAGTTCATTCACAGAATTTTGGAGTATTTTTCATCTGTCTGAGAAAGGAGACAGGTTAAGGAAGTATTCTTTTCTATTTCCAGCCATTATCTGCATGCATGCATAGATTTTTAGTGAAGACAAAGATATCTTTATCTAGACAATGGATAGGCCTACTGATTTCAAACTTGCACTTTTGCCGTAGATTGTATTTGCCCCTCCATCTCTGGGTACTGTTTTTCAAAATTGCCTGAGGCTACAGTACAGCACCTCAGATCCCCAAGGCCCATTGCCTGGCTCCTAATAGCCACTCTCCATCTGTGTCATATGAACAGCTGATGAGATAGCTCTGGTCTCTGTATTTTGGGAGCACATCCACCCAGGTTAAAGTGCTGGGGTTGCCAAAGAGCAGTCAGAAGCCATTAATGTTGTGAAAATTTGCCTTGCAGCAGTTCTTTGGCATAGTGGAATTGGTATGACTGTAAAAGGATTTATGCTTATGGACGCATAGATGTAGGGTGGTGGACTACTAGGGAAAAAAAAGTTCTAAAATAGCATTTTTCCAAAGCAGATAGCTGAAGATGGTCTGATGTCTTTTCCTTAGATTGCTCTTCAACCTTTCTATTTACCTTTTATTTGCCATAAGTTAAAAAAAGGAGTGGGGAGAGAAAAGTGAGTTCTCTTTTGCAGCCTTGGGGCAGGGTGGTTGTAATGAAATGGCCTGTCATTCTGTAAATAGTGAGGACCATCTTTTCTATGTGATGGAAGATATCGCATTGCAGTTAAAATGGGAATGTCAATAAAATTAATCTTCCAGCTCTTTGCTCAGGATTTTTTTGTTTCTTTTTTTTTTTTAAAGAGGGTTAGGTGGTTGCAACCCTTATGCATTCATGCATGTTTGCTTAAGACATATCAAAGAAAAGGTGTGTGAATAGTACAGATAAAGGAGAAATAAAATTTTAAATTTGGGGAAAATAGACTGTATAACTGTAATGCATTTAATTTAGCAGTGCTTAAGAACTAGAAGAGGCTATAGGAATTAGTTTGTGGGTCTGTAGCATTCCTCTGGAAGCTATGAAGCCTCTGACTCAGGCTACATTGAGCACAGAGTTTATTGTTTTAGGCTTTCTTGGACAAGGTTTTTACTTAGCATGGGATTTATGGCATTTACTGCTAATGAATGTCTATTCTTAAATTACAAAACCACCGTCTCAGTGCAATTCCCAGATGTCCTTCCAGGACCTCAGCTTCTTAAACACCAGCAGGGAGCATAAACTCTCCACTTCTCTGTTTTCCTCTTTCGTGTGGCTCCGGGCTAATGATGTGTAAGGAAAACACAGCAATCTATAAAGTCTCAGTGCTGTCCCAGTATTCTTCATTTATTTTGCATTTGATTATGCCACAAGTCGGATCTTGTTTCTTTCCTTTTTTTAAGAGTTATTAGTTCAAATATTAATGTAGGGATATGGCATATATTGCTGCTCTTGATTGATGCCTTCCCAAAAACAGGAAGACGTGCTCGTATGAATTTTAAGAAAGTAGGGGTCCGGCAATGCCTTGCCAGAAGAGTTTTTCAGATACATAATTTAGATGCCCTCCAGGCATGCTTTCAAGGCATTTTTGCTGGAGGGCAAGAAAAAATAACTATGACTGTTAAAAGTAAATGATTTTTTGCTAATGCACAATTAATGCCAGGAAAAACCACTGAAGAGAAAGATGTTGATGGAAAGTTCTGATTAAGTGAGCACCCTACCTTGATGTACATCTATTTTTTTTTAGAAATAAGATAATAATCATTGATGCAGACACAAAGGTTTTCATGTCTTGCAATAATTGTTCAGGATCATGCTAGATATGTTTGTGTTTGCGGACTTGCGTATACCAGCATACATGCATGCATGCATTATAGGAAGATGAGAGCCTATAGGGAAGGGATGAGATGATAATATGTTACATTCATTGAGCAGTGAAATATTGTCACCTATGCAGAGGGTTCAAAATATATAGACCACAGAACATTTAACTAGATGATGGCAAGGAATACATTTATAGTAAATAGGTTTTCTCTTGATAGATTTTCACATATTGTATCCTATAACTTACAAAGAGATATTGCACCATGTGAAATGCATATCTATAATTGAATTAATGGTCTGTGTATGTATGCAGCATAACATTAATATTTGAATGGACAATGGCTTCTAACTTTTTATATTTCTATCAAAATTATATTTAAGACATTAAAAATAGTGGATATCTTCATATATGAATAACAGTTCATTAGTGCTTTAGTTAATCTGATTAATCAAATGAGCTTAAAATGGTTGTTTATAATCTCTTGTCTTATTTCTTTTTCTTTTAGGAGATGGTTTAGACAATAGTGTAGCTTCTCCGGGCACAGGTGATGATGATGATCCAGACAAGGATAAAAAGCGTCAAAAGAAAAGAGGAATCTTCCCCAAAGTAGCAACAAATATCATGAGAGCATGGCTTTTCCAACATCTCACGGTAAGTGGACTTTTAAAAGAATTAAAAGTTTGTTAAAGAATTCTGTTGAACAAAAGTCCTTATGGTTAATTTTCTTTTCAGAATTTATGAATCTATTCACTTATTACTTTAATATAAAACAAAATTTGATTTTGTTATTGGGCTTGGGATCCCTGTGAAATGTTGCATTGTGCATAAGTTTAGAAAGCACTTTCCATTTTAACTTTTTGGTAATATATTATGTTTAACGGTTTTTATTGTACAGGTAGTCTTCATTTAATGACCACAATTGGGAAAGCAACTGTGTTGTTAAGTGAAGTGGTTGCTATGTGAAACATCCTTTACAATTCTAATTCACTTTTCCTTAGCCTCACAGATCCACAAAGGTTGCAAATACGAGTCTTGGTTGCAAAGTTTCTTTTTCATCATTGTTGTAACTGTGAACAATTGCTAAATAAGGCAGTTGCTAAGTGAGGACTACCTGTATTTAATGGGTTTTGTTTTAATTAGGTTGCTTGTATAGTTTTACTTTTTAATTTTGAGTGCTGCTTTGAGTTATAAACATGAGATGTGAGGCTGTATAAATTCAATAAATAAAATAGAATAAAATGTATTCAGATACTGTAAGTTGATATTTTATTGTGATGTAAATTTTAGAATGATGTGTGTGTGTGTGTGTGTGTGTGTGTGTATAATACATGAATGATCTCAAGTAAAAAAAATACAATGAAACATAACAATTAATTAATTTTGGTGTCTTTTGCAAACAGTATAAATCATTATGGTAGCTGTCCCTCAGCTGGTACCTTCCACATGTGCTGGCCTTTATTTTCTTTAATTCTAAGCACATCTAGAAGACACCAATTTGGAGAAGATTGGTTCATGGTCCTAGATTTCACACACATACTACAAAAAATATGTAGTCATCAGTGAAGGGTCAGCCCAACTTAAATAACTTTTCAAGGGTTATTGTGAATCAAGCAGTTCTGTGGTGTGATTGATGTTATTTAATGTGGGTTTCAGATCTTTCCAGAATTAAACAGATATGATTATTCTCTATGCTAGACTTTCAGAATAGTGATGGTATATTCGTTTTGGAATGTACAGTACTTTTGTATTTATATTCCAATAAGGTACAAAAGTTCTATAGAAAATATTTTTATGTTTGTAATAAGGATATCCTTCTCAATCCTGTCTTTTTTAATATTAAAAAATAGAAAATATACTCTATAAGGACTAATAATTTAAAAGAAAGCCCATAGTGAACTCTCACAACGATAAGTGGTAACTTATAATTGCAGGTAGTCTTTGATTTACAACCACAATTGGGGCCAAAAATTTCAAGTTGTTAAGTGAGTTTTGCTTCTCTTAACAAACTTTCTTGCCACAGTTGTTTAATTAATCACTGCAGTTGTTAAATTAGTAACATGGTTATTAAGTGATTCTTACTTCCCTGTTGACTGTGCTTATGAGAAGGTCACAAAAGGTGATCACATTACTCCAGGACACTGCAAGTGTCACAAATATAAGTCAGTTGCTAAACATCTGGATTTTGATCACAGGGCCATGGGATGCTGCAATTATTGTAAGTTTTTTCAATGCCACTGTAACGTCAAACGGTCACTATATAAAATGTTGTAACTTGAGAACTAGCTGTATCTACATTATATATTTTTGCTCATATGGTATTAATTTCTATTCATAATCCCTTTGAGGATACCTGTTTTATTTATGGTAGTTACTACTCAATATTTCTCAGTAGCTGGTAGAACAGCTTTAGTGGCTAAGCACCAATAGATCCACAATTCTAAATCGTTATTTTGATGTAAGAGTGTTATTAGCAATCTGTGGTGAATTGATCTGGCCGAAAGGGTCAGGATTATTCCAAATAGCCAGCGTCTCTGCTGGAGTAGTGGTTATTTTTGCCTTCCAGCTACGGCCATTCCAAAGGTCAGGTGCCCCATAGTACCCGGTTGGCTCAGAGGAATTAGACAGAACATGAGTCTCTGGGCTGATTACTTAACCAAAGACAAAATAATGAGTCCTAAGCAAATACTGACTAATTGAAAGGGCTGTAAATCCATTACATATTGGTCAGGGATAATCAGGAGTATTTAATCACTTTTATCTATTCAAGAGCACTGAAGCTGCAACAGCAAAGCCCTGAACCTTGCCATGTGCTTATTATTCTCATCATTATCAAAATTACTTCACAGCTGTTCTTTGCTACATCACCTCAGCTGGAGATTTACTAACCTGTAAAATGTTTTTAATTTGGAAGTTGAGTGTAACAGGAATGATTTTTTTAATGTTAAGGAAGTGGTTTGAAGAGCAGCACAATGATAAAGGAAAAAAAGGGGGGGTATGAGTAATTTCTTTCAGTTCACTTAAGCTTAATGTTAATTTCTCTCACCAAATCTTCTACATCATTTCTATGGATTTCTCCACTGCTTTTTGTTCTAAATGGGCGTGTGAATAGTGTTCAGTGCATGCTTCCAGTAGAAGAATTTGTGTATATTGTATGTTGAATATCATTTTCCAGGATATTACTTTGTCTTGAAATTTGTGCTTTTTTTTTTCAAACTGACTTTAAATGACTTAAAGAAATTTAAAGAAATTGATGACTTTAAAAAAATCAAAAGCTTTGATGAGGATGACCTTTGAATAAGTTTAAAAAAATACCATCTAGGTTTTAATGAATTTATAGATGTCAAAGAATGTACCATACTCATAATTCTTCAGCTTGAGAATGATAGTGCAGATCTCTGATTAGTGAACTGAAAATTCAAAAGACGTTTGCCCTAAATGCATGTAGACAAGGGGAAAAAATCTTCATCTTAAATAGTGCCTTTATTTTCTTTATTTTTTTTCTTTTTGGTTCTCAAGTAATATAGTTCTTTCAAAATATAACTTTTCTCCAATCACTAAAATAAATGTTAATTTTATACATTTTCAGACAAAATTCATTATAAAACAGCTTCTAATTTTAAACCTTTTCTGTTCATTACTTCTCTAACCTTATTTCAAATAGGTTGGTCTACCCTTTTGTGTTGTGTGACCTATTCTTCTATTACAATAATCTTACAATGTACCCTTTTCGCTCTTTCTTTAAAGAAGAAACTAATTGAATTATCTCATTATTTTAATTTGTTAAGCAAATGTATTTTACATCCCAGGATGTGTTCTTAAAGAAGGGGCTGCTAAGGCTTTACCCCTTGAATGGCCCATTGGTGCATTTTGACATTCATGCATTCTCATTAATGAAAGGAACATAAAAGGACTCTGGCTGTATTTTTTTTTTCAAACACCCAACCAGTATGGAACAACTTTTTCCATAACCCACAGGGGTCTCTCTACATATGTTCTCCAATGCAAGCTATTGTCACCTATTTTGAATACCTGAAAAGGACAAATAAAATACTGAAGGCCAACTGTAGCAATTGTTAGTTGTTAGTTCAGTATGACAAAAATCATTAACCTACTCTTGGCCTGGCAAGCAAAGGACTCTTTGAGAAGAGAAAAACTCCAAACTCACAAAACATTTTTGTAAGTGAAATATTTGATCATATATATGGTATTAAGCTTTGTTCGGGTATTTTCCCACGTCATTATAGTTGTGCTTTTAAAGTTGTAGCAAC